GGCAGCCTCAGCAGATAAAATACTGGAGATATCCAGCAGACCCGTCTCCAACGTATATTCTATCTGCGACAAACCAGAGCGCCAGGATTCGGAGGTGACCAAGTTGTGCAACTCTGTGAAACGGTTGCTACGATCTCGAAGTCCTAGATCACGTAGCACTTCACAGAAACGCACCTTGGCGCATCGCAGCAAGTCGTGTGGTAGCCCTAAAACGAAACCCAACAGGGTGGAAAACCCTGAATGGTGCTGGTTTCATAACACTTACGGGGATGAAGCCAGAAAATGTCGTAAACCATGCCGTTTTAAGAAGGACCCGAACTCGGGAAACGGTCACGCCGGCACGTGCTCACGGCAACCGTAGCCGGCGGAAAAAGCCGTTTGCTCTACGTCACCGACATTAAAACGAAAGTCCGCTACCTCGTCGACACCGGCGCAGAAGTTAGCGTTCTTCCAGCAACGACAAAGGAGCGTCATCTCGACCCATCCTTCAATCTTCAAGCAGCCAACGGCAAGGCAATCGCGACATTCGGGAGACGGTATGCCTACCTCAACTTAGGTTTACGCAAACCTATTCACTGGATTTTCCTCCTGGCAGACGTCTCTATGCCCATCATTGGCATAGATTTGCTGAACCATTACGATCTACTCGTAGATGCTCGCCGTCGACGACTGATAGATAACAACACAAAGTTATCTATTGGCGGCACCACCTATGTAGGTCCGAGTTTAGCCATCGTTAGGACTAAACAATCAGGCGACGCGTCCTACCAGGCAGTTCTGGAGAAATATCCAGAGTTACAACAACCGAAACACACTCTTCCGTGCATAACCAGCAATGTTATGCATCACGTCACAACCACAGGTCCACCTGTGGCATCCAAAGCTCGCCGTTTAGCCCCCGATAAGCTGCAAACGGCGAAAAATGAATTCGACCATATGCTGGAACTGGGCATTATCAGACCGTCAAACAGTCCTTGGGCATCGCCATTGCACATGGTGCCCAAAAAGGATAGCAACGACTGGCGTCCGACCGGTGATTACCGAAGGCTTAACGCCAAAACAACTCCGGACTGCTACCCTATACCCCACGTTTACGACTTGACCGCAACCTTATGCGGCATGAACATTTTCTCGAAAATCGACTTAGTCAAAGCGTACAACCAGATACCTATGGCAGCAGAAGATATCGCGAAAACAGCCATTATTACTCCTTTTGGCCTGTTTGAATTCCTGCGCATGCCTTTTGGTCTTCGGAATGCAGCACAAACATTCCAACGCTTTATGGACGACGTCTTCCGTGGTCTGAATTTTGTTCATGTCTACATAGATGACTGTCTAATTGCGAGTCCAGATAAGGAAACACACCTTAAACATTTGGACCTCGCATTCGAAAGACTCAAAAAACATGGCATCACAGTTAACTTACAGAAGTGTGAAATAGGAGTTGAATCACTCAGCTTCCTTGGGCATACCATTGACAACAAAGGTATACGCCCATTGAGAGATAAAGTGGCGGCTATCACAAACTATCCAGAGCCGACCACTGTGAAACATCTCCGCACTTTCAATGGCCTGGTAAGTTATTACCGAAGGTTTATCCCTAACTGTGCCTCTGTCATGAGACCACTCACAGATCTACTTCGAGGAACTGCGAAGTTCGTGTCTCTGGACAACGCGGCTAGACTTGCTTTCTCCAAAGTCAAGGAAGCCATTTCGAACGCAACCATGCTTATGCATCATGACCCCAATGCTCCTTTGAGTATTGCTGTTGATGCATCTGATTCAGCAATTGGAGCAGTTTTGCAACAGTTGACTGACAACCAGTGGCAACCGTTAGCCTTTTTCTCGAGGCGGCTGCAAGACGCGGAAACAAGATACAGTACATTTGGTAGGGAACTCCTAGCCATGTACTGTTCTGTACGCCATTTTCGACATTCTGTGGAAGGTCGTGATTTCATTATTTTCACAGACCACAAACCGTTAACGTTTTCCCTCAGCTCGGCGTCTGACAAATACTCCCCTCGTGAGTCGCGACAGCTGGATTACATTTCCCAGTTCACGTCAGACATCCGCCACATTTCTGGAGCAAACAACTCCGCAGCCGACGCACTATCTCGAATAGCTTCGATAAACTATATCGAGGGTATTGATCTCGTTGAACTAGCTCGGCGTCAAAAGGAAGACCTTGAGCTGCATCATGAGTTGTCGTCCACAACTCTCAAACTGCGACTTTGTCCTGTTGGATCAGACAAGGATGCAATTTTGTGCGATGTCTCTGCTAGTCAACCACGCCCAATAGTTCCGAAGAGTTGTCGACGCAACGTCTTCAATACGTTGCACAAACTCTCTCATCCAGGTGTACGAGCCACCATTAGGCTTATCGCACAACGTTTCTGCTGGCCTGGGATGAACAAAGACGTTAAGGAGTGGGCCCAGTCGTGCTTAGCTTGTCAAAAGTGTAAAGTCACGCGACACACGAAAAGCCCTTTAGGCTCATTTCTAGCCCCAGACATGCGTTTCGACCACGTCCATATAGATATTGTAGGACCCCTACCAGAATCTAATGGATGTACCTACCTTTTCACCTGTGTTGATCGTTTCACACGATGGCCGGAAGCAGTACCCATTAAAGATATTACTGCCGAAACAGTTGCTCGTGTTTTCGTCGAAAGATGGATCGCGAACTTCGGATGTCCATCCTACGTCACAACCGACCGTGGGCGCCAATTTGAGTGCGGACTATTTCACGCTCTAACGGCACTTTTAGGTTGCACTCGGTTCCGAACGACAGCCTACCATCCACAAGCAAATGGCATGGTAGAGCGTTTCCATCGACAGCTGAAAGCTTCCCTTTCAGCTACAAACATACCTCAGTGGACCGAGGCTCTGCCTCTAGTCCTACTAGGTATTCGTAACGCGTTGAAAGTTGATGCTGGATGCACTCCTGCAGAACTCGTCTATGGGACCACTCTTCGCCTACCAGGTGAGTTTGTTTCCCCTTCAACTTTCAAACATGTTTCCGACAGGGCATCTTACGTGACTAGGCTTACAAACGCAATGCGTTCAGTTAGGCCTTCTCCGATTAGACCGCAAACGACTGATGTTTTCGTCCACCCCAGTTTACAGAAGACATCACACGTGTTTGTTCGCCACGACGCTGTTCGTCGACCACTTGAACCACCCTACGACGGGCCGTTCAAAGTGATTAAGCGACATGAGAAATTCTATGTAATTGAGCGAGGCGGACGCGAAGATACTGTCAGTATCGACCGTTTGAAACCAGCTTATTTCGAAGGCAACCCCATTGTAAGTGACGTTTCAGATCGCTACATCCGGCCGACGGATGACTCAATTATCGAAATTCTCGACGATGTGCCTGGTAATGCACAGCTGCAACAACCAGCGGCGCAACAAAAAACACGATCAGGTCGAACCGTCAGGTTCCCAGAGTACCTGAAGTCATATTCAACTTAGCTATGTGTGTGCCAACCATTTTTTTCGAGGCACTATTTTTCTTATTTACCGGCACAAACCCTCGTACACTTTGCCTTTTTATATCAATTTTTATTTACCATGTAATAAAAACTAAAAAAACGGCGAAGATAAGCGTAAATTTTTCTTTTTCGACACGTTTATATATAAATAATTCCCATTTTTACGCAACGTTTTCGTGGTATTAAAGACTTTTATTTATATTCCAGGTGCAACGAGCACTGGACGGAACGTCGAAAGGAACAGATGACCGCGACCGACGTACAATTTCATTTATTGTATTTTATTTATTTAATCGCCACGACACCCTAGAATAAGGTTCAGACAACCAGGGGCCACCTCACGCAGTGAGCCCATCGGAGAGTTTTACCAGTGGAGAAACCACTGGGTTTTTACTTCCGGCTGGTATCGTCTTAGGGTCCTCACGAACCCACTAGGGGGGGAGTGATCTGTAGCGTCATACACTTCCCCAAAATCAATAGCCTAGGGTTTGACGACTTCGACATTGATGCTGACCTTGATAGTTTAACTGGACTCGCTAAGCTGAAGGCATCCGGTCAAGCATCCTCGCCATTTGGCACGCTGTCGTGTTACGTTGCATTGCTCGTATTCGACTCTCTAGCCAGTTAGTTGGAACGCATCGGTATTTTGGCATAACCACCCAAATATACTATTCCATCCGACTACGCTATCGTGTTCTTCCTTGGTCTCGTATTCGTGGGTATATAACAAGTTCGAATAATTAGTGATTGGTCTTTGCGTCTGTCAAGTTCGCACCAGGACAAATCCTAAACACATATTTAGTTAGGTCTAAATTAGAAAACTGTACACAGGCGGCTAATCCTTGTCTGAAAGGTGACGCAGATCTTCTAAAAAGAGTTCAAAGGGCAGTCAATTGTATGATCCCTGCGATAGTTGGCCTCACCTATGATGACCGACTTGAGGAGCTGAACCTCTTCACTTTGTCCTACCGTAGACACAGGGGAGACTTAATCATGCTATTCACGATTACAAGAAATAACTTCAGACCTGATCTATCTTCTCTTCCCCTTCTCAATAGGTCGGAACAAATCAGTGGACATAGAGGGAGACTACAAAAGCAAAGAATCAACATGGTCTCCGCAGATTATTGATTCTCGTGTCGAGTAATCAACGCCTGGAACCGACCCCCGGAAGAAGTGGCGTCCGCATCACCAGTTGAACCGTTCGAAAGAGGATTGGACAAGCACAGAAATCTACTGAAAAAGGATCAATATAGGCTCCCAGCCTCCTATCCGCAAAACAACTAATCTGAATCTGAGTCTCATTTGATTTCAGGAGACCTAGCGTTTGTATGTGGCATAGTGTCTTGTCGATATAAGACTATTAGTCAATGTTAACACCTCAAATTAAACAGAGCTTTTGGTCTTGTTCATTACTACCACGGATATACGGTTTGAAATTTTGAGACTGAAAGTTTAAACTTTATATGTCACGCTAAAGGACTGGGATACAAAAACTTCACTTACATATGAATTCATGTTTAGACAATGGTAGGATAGTTATGTTACTGAACTTGTACAATTTCAATACACACGGCTTTAGTATACCATGATGCTTCTTTATCTCCATGAATATTTTGAATGGATTAACAACTTCAAAACATTGATTTTCATTTGCATTCTTTGTTACTTTTAGAATTCAGCAAAATGAAATAATTAAAGCCTCTTTCGACCAAAAGCTACTTTCAATAAGTGAAACAGTTTCACGAAATACGCGACGAAGTTCATCCATTTGAAACAGTAGTGTTTGGAATTACCTTGGGGAGAATAAATATAAACTCACCCAATATCCAATATCCAATATTGATAGTGCGAGCGTAGAAAACTAGTAGTTTTTGATCTCTCGCGTCTAGTTCTTAGGGCTTGGTTCCAGTTGTTCGGTTCACTCCTGCAGTGGACGAGGAAATCCCCTCTGCTTTCTTGCTTTTAGCTTCGGTGAGGTGGATGTTTTGTGGGTTAGTAGGTTGTAATTTGTAGAGTGATTAGGGAGCTACGGGCTGCTGGGAAGTTTAGAGAACAACCGTGACTCCTGTCTGTGTAGGTACCTGAAAGAGAATATTAAGGTAGTGGTAAAGGAATGAAGAGAGAAGTAAGGAAGAGTAAAAAAAAATAAATAAATAAATAAATAAAATAAAATAAAAAAAAAAATAAAATAAAATAAAAAATAAATAAATAAATAAATAAAATTAAAAATAAAAATAATAGTAATAATAATGTAGGGAAGAGGAAAGGGAAGGAGAATAAAAGAAGGGGTGAAGAGAGAAATGAGAACGAAAGAAAAGTATTTGGGAATTGCCCGAATGGTCGCGTGGGTTTGGTTCCTACAGAAGAATTAGTAGGTAATGTGGGTGTATTAAGGAGAGAGATAGTGAGTGGTAGTTAGGAGGGAGTTGGGGGTACTGAGGTTGGTGACTACCTGAGTACGTCCGTGGTAGTCCATGCGAGGTGACATAACTGTCTAATCGCCTCTTGAAAGAGTCGATTGAAGGAGCTATAACGATGTGTCGCGGTAAGGCATTCCATAAAGCACATACTCTCAGGGAGAAAAATTTGGACCTGAGTGTGGTGTTGGCTCTCTGGTGTGCTATCTTAATGGGGTTTCCTCGTGAAGATCGTTCAGTTGCAGGCAAAATTGATTTGTTTGCATGGTCTGCCTGATGGGCGATCTTGTATGCCATAATGAGGTCACCCCTTTTCCTGCGATAACCCAAGGTAAATAGGTTGAGGTGTTTAAGTCTTTCAAAATACGTCTTTCCCCTTAGCCCCACAACACATTTTGTTGCAGTTCTTTGTATTCTTTCAAGGAGATTAGAGTCTCTCTTGAGTGTTGGAGGAGCCACCGTATTGAAGACCTCTAGGTGCGGCCGCACGTAGGATTTGAAAATGGTGAGGAAGAGTTCGGGAGTGAGGGCGCCAAGCTGTCTACGCAGAAAGTGTAGAATGGCGTTCGCTCTGGTTGTCATACCTTTGTAGTTGGAGCTGGTGTCCAAGGTGTCGGAGAAGTTGAGCCCCAAATCTTTCTCCATGGACACTCTGGTGATAGCACGGTTGCTCAACATGTACTGGAAGTCGGTCGTACTTGCCTCATTTTTACTGATGTGCATTACTTTGCACTTTTCCAGTTGAAGCTCAGACCATTTTCCGACGACCAGAGCTCGAGTTGCTGCAAGTCCTTTTGTAGTGCTGCACAGTCGGCTTCTTCGTTTACCACCCTCCAAATTTTTATGTCGTCAGCGAAGAGGAGGATGGGTGAGGATATTTTGTCTGGCAGATCGTTGACAAAGAGGAGGAACAGAAGCGGTCCTAGGATTGCTCCTTGGGATACTCCTGACGTCGACGGTCTCCACTCCGACCTTATTCTGTTCACTTTAGTGCAGAACTGCCTCCCTTCCAGGTACTCCTTGAACCAAGAGAGTAGGGGTCCACTTATACCAGCTGACATGATCTTGTGAAGCAGTACTGTGGGTGGGACACTGTCAAATGCTTTGGCTAGGTCGAGAAATACAGCATGTACAGGTTTTCTATTATCCCAGCTTTGTGTCCAGTCGTCCCAGGCAGTTAGTAAGTTGGTGGCACATGAGCGACCACTACGAAAGCCGTGCTGAGCAGTGTGGACAGTGTTTTCTCTATTGAGGAATTCCCAGATGGTGTCAGCTACCAGGCTTTCCAACACTTTCGACACAATAGGGAGTAGGGCAATCGGCCTGTAGCTGCCAGGGTTTTTTCTGTCTCCTCCCTTGAAGATGGGTGACAAGATGGCACTCTTCCATTCTTTAGGGAGTTTGCACGAGTCTATTGAGTGCTCAAAGAGGTTGCGAAGTGGTTTGGTAAGCACCTCGGCGCAGTTTTTCAGAACCACTGGTTTCAGATTATCGCAGCCAGGGGACTTGCCCGGACGTAGCCTAGATAGCTTCTCGAACACCTTTTTCTCTGTAATAGAGACGTGACAGAGGTATTCGTTATTTGCGACCTGGTCGGTGTCGTGGCGAGTCGGTGTGGATCTTGTGTCAGTGCTGAGTTGGGCTTGGAAGTGTGAGCTCAAAAGCTCGGCAATCTCTAGACTGCTTAGCACACTCCCGTCATGGCCTGTGACAAGATTCACTCCCTTACTGGTCGACTTTCTTCTTGACATGAAGCGGTACAGGTTTTTGGGGTTGCTTTGTAACCTCGCTGCCAAGTTTGTTTGGTAGGAAAATCTGTCGTTACGCACTCTAATGTTACAGAGATTGCGAATCCTTTTATAGTTCAAGAAGTCAGACTCCCTGCGTGATGTAAGCCACTTGAACCAAGCCTGCTTCTTGCTCCGGATAAGCCTCTCTGTCCCACGCTTTAACCATGAGGTTCTCATTGATTGTCTGTGTGTTACTTCTGGTACACTGTGACTGATGGCCCCAGTGATTATTTTCTTCACCTCCAACCAGTGTTCATCTATTGTGAGATGAGTCCAGTCCACTGGCCATGATGCATTCATGAGGTAGTCCCTCATGGTCTCATAGTTGGCCTTGCTGTAGCAAGGGAAGGTGTTGGGCGTCTCCAGTTGCAGAGCCTCCCTAGTTATCATGGAGAAGGTGATTACAGCGTGGTCACTGAGGCCAAGGGGAGGTTGGATGCAAACATCCTCAATGAGAAGTTCATCGTTCGTCAGAACGTAGTCAAGGCGCGATGCGTTTCCGTTAGGTCCCCAGCGTGTAGCATCACCCACTTTCTCTGAGAGGCCAGCAGTCTTAATTGCATCCTTCAGCTTCTGATTGAAGGATCTGATGCGTCTCCCTTCCGTCTCGAAGAGGATGGACGGGGTGTTGAAGTCGCCGGCAATGACTACGGAATCGTAATTTGCAGAGGAAGTCGTTAAGATAGCCTTGATGATCATTTCCTTATGTGTAGGGGAGCAGGTGGGGGACCGATATATGACTCCGAGCAAATATTTGGTACTGTGGAGAGTGAAGTAGCACCATAGGGACTCTGGGAGCTGGGTTAAGGCCGTATCGCTAACCATCCTTGCCTTTAAACAAGAGTTTACGTAGATAGCCACTCCCCCTCCTGCTCTATGTTCCCTGTCCCTGCGGAAGAGTTCCATGCCAGTAACATGCATCTCTTCGTCGGAGATGTCTGGCGAGAGCCAGGATTCGGTGATGAATATGATGTCGGAGTGCTGATGTGCACGCAGCGTCCTCATTTCTGCTACCTTCCCTCTTAGCCCCCTAACGTTGCTGTACATACATGTTAGAGTGTGCCTGGTGAGGGGGAGGTCTGGTTGTGTATTTTCGCAGGATGACAGCTTATGTGGTTGGGTCTACCCTCGCCAGTCCTCATAGGACTGGCATTGTTCCGTTTTTTGGTGTTTCGTTATTAACTTGGGTGGGGGCTGTGGCAGTGGTGGCTTCTTTACTTGATGTATCTAACTCACTGGTCAGCGCCTGTGTGACGACCACTGACTCCAGGGTCTTGGTGGTTGTCGTCTCTCCTCTTGCCTTGTGGGTCTAGGCTTACTTTCACATATACGTATTGAGCCACCCATGCGATCCTTCGCATTATACCATGCCTGTAGAACGTCTGTGAGGGAGGCATGTGAGTCGAACTGGACGGCGAGTAGTCTGGGATTGGGTATGGTCTTCAGGTGCGCTGGCCTTGGCAGTCTACTGACGCTGTTGGCCGGTATGCTGTTGAGACCAACTTTGGTTGAGAGCCATTGCCATTGTTGGACGTCATGAAAGTACCGATCTTTGACCGAGCGGTCACTTGGCAATTCTGGAATCCCATGTACAACTATAGTGTTGTTTCTGTTGGGATTTCCAACCGCTGACTTTCTCTCCTCCTCTCTTATTGACCATGGCTTGTCAGGCCTGGCCCGAATTTTACAGGCATTAACAACGTCCGGTTGTCGCGAGAGGAGGAGTGTGTCTTCAGCCTCTTTGGTAGTATTTAGGGACACACGTAGAGGGGGTGGCTTATCTCGGGGTGCACGGCTTCCTCGAGAAAGGCGACATAAAGTTGCAGGGAGGGGAGGGAGTCCTAGCATCTGACAGTAGTCGGTCCACATTCGGCTGTCAAACCGTTCCCTCTCGACCAACAATGAGTCTGTCGATACATCGACGTTGAACAAAATGATCGAGTTGGTCCTCCTGTGACCTGGGTTCGTTGTGGGTGGCACGCTTGACTTCCCAATGGGTTTGAGTAATTCCACTGGTTGTTTCTCAGTCACGGTGTGTAAGGGTTTTGGAATGGGTTTCGTAGAGGCTTTAGCGGTCGATGTCTTTGGCCATACGCTTGACGTCCCCTGGGGCCGGGTAGGAGGTATGGAGACTTGACCTAATATGGTCCCCACGCGAGGTGGCGTGCCCACAGCTGGAGCTCTAGGTCTGTTTCCAGGTCTCTCTGTGTTATCTTTTGGTGTTAACCCTACTTTATTCGAGGGTGCTGGTAGCTTTTGCGTGGCGGAGAGCATCTCCTTCAGGCTTTCTGTGCGCAGTGCGGGCATTTTCCTGCACTCTGGACAGATGTACCAGAACCACTTGCATGGTTGTCTCTTCATCAACTTATAGTATTGTCGGGGGACTTTGGTGTCGCAGT